AAACAATAAATCAGCCATAGCTGATTAGCAATCATGAAAAGAGGTCTGGGAGTTTTAAGTTTCATTCTTTTATTACATTTTTTCTTAGATCTGTTAAAAGGTCACCATGGCAGCCTGTGTGTCTCCAACATCAGCTACACAACGCAGCAAGTGTAAGTTCCAAATACCTGTCTTGACCACTTCATGTATGGTTTTGTACTTTAAACAATTATGACAAACCTGTTATTTTTTCTCCATAGCCATTTGGATCATCGGTGACAGCTGAGTGAGGCGTGGTGCCCAGAGAGCTGCAGAGACCCTCGGAGACAACCTTGGCCTCCCTGACGTCTGTGTCTCCTGGTTCGGTTGGGGCGGACTGAGGTGGAAAGACCTTCTCCCCTTCTTTTTCCATTCCCTGCATGGAAGAGCAGATCCTCATGTCCTCTTCATTCACTGCGGCGGCAATGACATGGGGGTGGTCAGCAGTGTGAAGCTGGTGAACATGCTGAAGGAGGACCTGCACCGGCTTCAACTTCTCCACCCTCATGACCATCATCATGTCGTCCATCACCCAAAGGTGTAGATGGAGGGCAGGTGTAAAACCTGCCAAAATTGAGTAGGCCAGGAGGTTCGTCAACAATGTAATGGCTACTTTTATTTCTAGTTTAAATGGTGCCGTTGTGCATTCTCACATCAGACATGACACTCCAGGGATATTTTTGTCAGACAGAGTTCATTTCACAAATAGGGGAAATGATATCTTTTTAACTAATATTTCCAAATTGTCTTAAAGGCCAGCTCCAAAAGCAGTGAAAGACTTCCAGGTGGGAGTCTCGCTTCTTTTGAATTTGGCCTTTAGGACAGATTTATTTTCAGGCAAACAGGATAAACATATCCCTGACTGTTCTAGCTAATGTGTTGATGATGTAATTTATCTGTAGCCATTACACTGTTGAACTGTTCTTCCTTCAAACCACAATGTTGCACTCACTCTGCAGCTCTCTGGGCCCATTTTACTATTAAGTTTTTATTTTTTTTATGTGCCGACACTTTGTGCCCTGTTTTCAATCAATCAATCAATCAAAGCTTTATTTATAAAGCGCCTTCCGCAACCCTGTCAGGAAGCCCAAAGCGCTGAACATGGTACAGTTGTAAGTAAATGAAAAAATCAACAATAAAAGAAATTCAAATTACAAAATACAAAATGGAAATTATAAGATAGATGAAACATTCTGGTAAAGGACAAATGTGTGAAACACATTTGGATTGAGTGGATGGATTGGACTACATTTTATAAACTGTAGTGTTAAAAATAAATGTTTTTTCTCAATTACTGGAATTTCTTTGGTTAAGACAAAAAAGTGAGGAATAATCATTTACAAGTTATTTGTACAACAGGCCCATTTTAAATCCCAACAGTTTCTTAGCAGACAATAGAAATGTGTTCTTTACTAACTTTACTTGGTTTAAAAATCTTACTAAAATAAAAAGAGTGCCGTATTGCAAAACCCAATCATACTTGTTATGTAAACATTAGCTTTGTAGATATTTGTGTGCAACAAAAACCAAACTTAAATAATTTGTCATTCTTTATTGAAAAACAATAAAATACAGGAAAACAGAAAGAGTGGGAAAATGATAACGTGAAAGTATTGCACTTTAAATGTGATCCTATTTATCTTTATAAAGAAAAACTAAAAATGTCCTGTACAACAACATGACAGAAGAATGGTGGTCTGTCTGTCAGAATGTGCTGAACAGATTTGCTCTATCAAGAGGAGCCTTAATGTGTACGAGGTTCCCCTTGAGTAATATTGGTTTGGGTTATGTATCGCCACATCAGCATGTAAATGCTGAACCAATCTGGAATAAAGACTGCTGATAGAGGATAAACAAGTAAATAAGAGAAAAATTAATACAACTAGGAAACCAACATAAAAACAGCAACCAGCAGCTGCACCTGTGAAGAAACATTTCTAAGAATCATCAAGAAAACGTGGGATGAACAACTATAAACATGTAAACCATGAACCACAAACATCATGAACAACAAACATCAACAAGCATGTGTTCGTGCGTGTGCTGGAATGTGAAGTGTTACCCCGGCTTTCCACTGGAGCCGTCAGCAGCGCGAGTCGGCCGCGTCTCAGGAGCAGCATGTCGCGGCCTTTACGCGCCGGTTCTATTTTCTACGCGCGACGCCTCTGAAACGGGTCAAGTTCAACATTTTGGGGGAAGGAAAGACAGGAAATCGGACGCAGAAACGGAGAGAAGCTACCGAGATTTTCAGAATAAAGAAATGTACTGCCTTCCGGTTGCTTTACTTTTAAAAAAATGTACTAACTGTGCGGCCCCGTGAGAATTTATCACCTAGCTAGCGGTCTCCTTTGTTTTTCAGGTCCGTATTGGCGATTATAAAATGGACAGAACATAAAACACAAACCATGTTGTAGTTTTCTCCTGCTTGTTGTTGTGTTTACTGACGAAGTCACTCGTGTGACTTCGTGCTCTGTCGGTGACAGCTGCTCCCCTGCTGCTTTGCGTCTCGTGGGGAGGGCCAAGCAGCAGTTTACGCGAGCAAGACGTGCTGCTGCAGTAACGTGCTGCTGACGGCTCCAGTGGGAACCCGGGGTTAGACCTCCAAGGATCAGGTGCACTCTGGAACGGCCACAAGCACCAGAAAACCTTGCTACAGATAAGTCAGCAAGGCCACATCCAGAACCGGGCTGACACAGGTCATGGGCCACATGGCACAGGAATCACACAGCATTTGAAACAGAATCATTAAAATTAGAATCAAATACAACAGTTGTTCAGTATGACATCAAATGGATTTTTAAAGAAGGCAATTGGACTTCTTAGGTTTCATGAATATAGGAGGGTTGATCTTAAGCCTGATTCATGCTTCTCCTGTGTCAGTGCTGAGACATGCAACTCCATTATCCGTCCTTGGTATGGCATACTGACTTCTAACATCAAGCACTATCAAAAAACTCACTGAGCTGCAGTATTTCTCCGGTCAGATCTGTCTCCGAGTCCGAGAGCTCCACGAGCGGTCAGCCCGCGCAGCAGCTAGGCGCTGCATCGGTCAGGCTGACCGGACTGACCGCTGGGGAGTACCGGATGGAAGAATGGAACACAGAAGTGTCCCTCCAAGTGCTCCGTCATATTTCAACCCATTTTTATCTTAAATGCACTGGGTTTTACCCTTTTACCCATCGAAATATGCCCTATTAATTATTTTACTGTATTTTACATCTAAATTTCATGGTTAAACAGTACTACATGTTAAAATGATAGTTAGCTAGCTACTTCGATAAACTCAGCTAGTTTAAAGGCAGCAGTGACATAAAATACAAATATAGATTTTAACTTACCGAAAAAAATGAAGTGGAGACTCCTTGGACGCTCTATTAGTGCAATTAATACCACAGCAAGTCATTTTGTCCAACTATTGCACCAATAATATCCAAAACAGAATACACAAACACAGAGACTCAAAATCCCGGAGCAGTTTCCAGGCCAGACCGAGGCTCTACTGAGGCCTTTCCATGGAGCTAGCTCTGTGGTCACGTGGGTCTGATGCTCATTAATTATACAGAATTTTAGGCTTTTAATACACTTAAACAGAAGAGTGAGAAAAACATTCACCCCCCTCAGAGTTGTCATGAGTGTAAACTAGATCATTTAGACCAAAAATATGTTTTGGTACCAGGCTGTAAACATGTTTACTTCTGCTGTGAAATTGGTATTTTTAACGTGGGAGTCAATGAGGATTTGCTCGCTTCTGGCACCAGCCCCTAGTGGATGAGGGTGGAACTGCAATTTTTCTTACTTCCGGGTTGGGACCATTCTCCCATTTTTAGAGCCGCATTGCGGGGGCTTGGGGGTAGTAGCCTAAGCAGGGAGGCCCAGACTTCCCTCTCCCCGTCCAGGGGCGTGGCCTGGGGTAGCACATGCCACCCTTGGAATCTGACTGGCCACCCCAGGTGCCACCGCACCAATTTACCTTTAAATAGGCTTTTCATTGTCCTCAAAAGGTTTGGGGGTAAAAGAGGAAAAGCATAACCATTGGTGCAACCCATGCACAAAGTTGTGCCTCACCTGGGCCACCCCATTTAAAAAGATCTGGACACGCCACTGTCCCCATCCACTTGGGCCAGCTCCTCCGGGGGAATCCAAGAGACACAGTCCCTCCAGCATGTCCTGGGTCTTCCTTTAGGTCTCCTCCCGGTAGGACGTGCTTGGAAAACCTCACCAGGGAGGAGTTCAGGAGGCATCCTAAGCTGAGAAGTTTTTTTTAAAATATCAGTCAAGATCTTTTTCTTAATGTAAAAGTACAAGTCAAGTCCAAAGTATCTGTCTTTAATGGTGAGTTAGACTAAAAATCTTGAGAGCTCCTTTAAGAAAACTTGAGTAAAAACACTAAACATGAAATCAGGGGCTGGATGCAGGAAGGAGCCAGTTTGTTTGCTCCCATGTAAAATAAATTCCAAATTCACAGCAGAAATAAACATTTTAGGTTTAACAGGTCAAAATTACCATCAAACTCCATTAGCTTCGGGTTAGCTCAGTTAGCTCATAGTTACATCATCTCAGAGTTTGATCATCTGCCACCACCTTCACCGCCACGCTCCAGGAGGGACCAGTGGTGCCAAGTAATTCCTGAAACCAAACCCTGAATTAAAGTGGCTGGATGGACTATTTTCACTTTTTAAGCATTTACAGAGGCGGTACAGAAACGTTTTTTCACATTTAAATAAAAAAAAAAATAGAAAACAAAAATCCAAGATATGTTCAGTTTTCCTGCCTTTAAGTTTCCAGCAGCTGAAATTCACAAGACAGACAGATCTCCATCACTCCATCTATGATCACAAGTAAGTCATTTCAACGTTTTAATCATTAAGAAGCTTCGGTCGTGTTTAAATAAATATTCTGCATCTAACTCATCAGAACTCAGTGTTGTGTTTTAGACCTCTACTGCCATCCTATGGATGACAGAAGAACCACACAAACAAGAATTAACACTTTAAATTAATTTATTTAAAAAAAAAAGCATTTCTCCACTGAAGCAGAACAAACATCAATTTTTTTCTTACTATTGTTTGGAACGTGTACAATCAGAAAACAGACTTGCCGGGTCGCCAGAACTGGGCCAAAATAATCACGCAAATGGGTTTTATGTGAGAGGGGGGTGAGGGTGGGGGGTTCTGCCAACACCACAACATCAACACAGCCTGCAGGGACATTTAGGAGTACGAGGAAGGTGGAACGGGAAACAAAAAGAAGAAAAGCAGGAGGAAGGAAACGCAAACATTTCGTCAAGTGCAGGTCTGGTTTTGGACAAAGCGGGTCTCTTTTGTTCCTCCGTTCAATTTACAGTTGAAGACTTTTCTGTCGGATACATGCAACATCTGGAACTACACATGGAGATTTGCTTATATCTGTGCAAGTATTAAAATATGAAAGTATAACAATGCAATTTGATATGGATATGTCAGAATAGGGTAGGGGGAGTTTAGCCAAAACTATTCCACTGGTTCACGGAACAGAAAACAAAAGTTCACAGGAAAAAGTTTCTAACTTAGTTACCGAAATGTCACCAACCTCACCACTGAGAATGCTTCCTTTATTAATTTATTACTCTCTAGATAAGTGTAAATACATAAAAAAAATCCTATGATCCACATCTTCAACAACAAAATACTGCATATCTACGCACAGCTGCAATTAAGGAAGGTCAGTTTCATGAGAGGCTAGCTGCCAGAACTTTAAAAATCTTGGCTCCGAGATAATCCCTTTAAGATTCTCTTATTGTTATATGAAACAAAAAGCAAAAACAAAAAACAAAATAAAAACACAACAACTGAACCACTGAATGCTCGTTAAACTCGCTGGTCACGTCGTTCGGACTCTAACGGGTTGGGGGAAGTATGTTCTGCTGGCTGCCAGAGTCTCCAATCTGCTCTGAGGTAGATGCGACAGAAAGGTGGCATGCAGCCCGAGCCGGGTCAGGGTCTCTCCCGGTCAGATCACTTGAGGTCAAAGGTCGGCTTTATTTGTTAAGGCTTCCTGTGGTCTTTCTTTAGTCAATGTCATGTCTCAGCGGCTCACAGGGGACACCTTCAGGTCACATTTTTGTCCCATTTCTGTTTTGTTCTCGACCCATGTTCCAGTTTTTAAAGGGGTGGATTCTTCAGGGTTGTTTAGCGGACGAACCAACGGAGACGGAAAAGAATCTTCTCTGCTTGGCACCTCAGTAGTGAGCGGTGGGAGAAAGAAACAGACGACAGGACGAGAGAGGAGGTGTGAGGGAGGAGATGGTGGTGGTGGTGGGGCTTGAGTGGTCTAGTGGATTAGTTTGGTTAGTCGTTGGCTGCCGGCGAGTCCGTCTCTGCTGCTGGACCCGTCTCATCCTCAGACTTCACACGTTTAGCATCCGGCTGTTCGTTCACCAGCTGGTCGCTGTTCTGCCTCTTGGTGGGGAGGGAGGCGGAAGCTGAGGCGTGGGCTGCCAGCAGGTGGAGAGGGCTTGCCACAACTGGAGCTGCAAGACAGAAACAAAAATCTACGTTAGACTCCTGGAGATCACAAACTATTCCTGGTTTGTGTTTAACATTTGACCTGAGAGATGCTTCAGTAATCTGAGTAATTACCCCTGAGATTAAGAGAAAATATGTTAGCTGTCAGTTACTATGGTAACTTGAGACTAAACCTGCTTAAAGAGCAAGTCACCCCCTACCAGAGTCTTACTCCACTCCCAATTCCTGTTCGAAGAATGAAACAAATGCTGTTGCCTGGCAGACCGAGAGGGCAGAGCCGCTAACACACACACACGACATTGTGACATCATAATGTACCAGCCAATAGCAGTGCAGATTTAAAATCAAATGCGGTGCAGAGTTACCAGAAGGTGGCTCGGCACTGAGTTTCAGACAGAATATTTAAATTTTAATTAGGATGCACCAACGTGCCAAAATACTGACTACACGTGTCTACAGCATGATTAGACACTTATTTAGTTTGTCAGCAAAAAAAAAGTAGATTTGGGGGGGACTTGCTCTTTAAACTTAAGTTTGTACACATAACAGAGTGGTAAGATCCTGCCCTCCGTTACATACCAATCTGAAACCACTTGGCCAACGGCTAATTCAAACATTTTTCAAAAACTTTCCATACATATGTGGACTCAAAACGGACCGGTCCAGTTTTCTGTCCCAAACACATTTTCCCCATTACAGCTACAAAAGTTTAACCCAAACTAAGGCTTTCATCCAGAGAGGACATCTAACGTAGACTGGGTGTGATCTTTACTCCCAAATATTTATTTGTTGAAACAGAGTCAGAACAATACTAATAAAAAATCATTTAAAATACAAAACAGCTCTGATTCGGGATGCAATGATTATAAATGCTGGTGGTACGATTACAGTCTGAGAAATTATCACTGTTTCATGATTACCACGGTTATTTTACATGATTTGATTTCACATCTGTATTAATAAATAAATCACACACACATACTATAGATTATTGATAAATGGCATGATTACATTCTATAAACGTTTTGAACCCCTGAAGTATCTATTGTTCCTTTTCAGGGAGTTTGCTTACAAAAATTCACTCTTCTACTGATTTGCAACATTGATGTTTTACCTCCACAAATAACACAAGCATGGAGGAGTTCTGCTGTGTGGTGGAATTGCTCATGCTAACAGTTTATACTAGTTGAGAGGTACTCTGCCATTTCCTGGATGCTAAACCAACAACAGCCTTCCATGTCGTGAGTGAAGATGGGTGGGTCCAGGAATGTTAAATGACAGTTTGACGTAGATCTGTCAGGATTTTCTAATCCTAGACTTTCATCGTCTATTTTCAGAAGCTAATGCAGGAGACAGGTGTACGAGACTATTTTCATGTTCAGCCTGCATGAAAAACTCAAGAGACCGATAATAAATCAGAAATAACGATTAAAAAATGGTTCTTTGGTGAATCACACCTTCAATAATATTTGCCTAAAAGCCTTTATTGAGCTTCTGTAAAAAGACAAAAAAGTTTAACCGTTGACAGCTGCTCTGGGTTTGCACTGAAGGATGGAGACACCTGAATGAATTAAGGTGCTAAAATCCTGCTAGAGCAGTTGTTATGAATTTTACTTATTACTTATATGTAACATCTACTCGTTCATATATTTTCAAATTTCATCAGTAATATTATTTGGACAAGGATAAATTACATTATAGCTATTTAGAGCAGGAATTTCGGAGAGGTGTAGTTGATTAAATATTTAAATGGCTTGCCGTACCGCTTGTTGTAGACAGATACAGGGAAACGTAGAACAACACAACATGAACCGTCGTTCATTGGATTGTTCTAATATTGCTGTTACATGTGTCGAGTCTCTAATGTAATCTGACTCAGTTGGAGCTAATTTATCTGAGCGATGATCTCAAAGACGATAAAAGTTGGGAGTGTTGCAACTTTTGTTTCTGCCAGCTCTGCAGATGGACGAGGAGACACGGTTCTGAATTTGTCTTTTAGCAGCTTTGAGAGTCTAAAACATTCCATCACAGGAGACTTGAAACACCTCCTAGGTGGACACGGAGCAGTCCCGGTGGCTGCTGACGCTGGCTCTGCTGCGTGCGTGTGTTCGTTCAGTTTCATTCTCGGTTCGGTTTGCTAACGTCTTTTTTATTTGTGGTGTTGGAGACGTCTTTACGGTGGGTTAACCGCAGCGTTTCACACCGAGGTTAATAGTCAAACCAGCTCATCCCTGCAGCCCTAGCTCTGTGTGGACAGAGTAGCACCGAGGGGGAGCGCTCCAGACAGCTGCACCTCCCATGAAGCTCGGCTTTGTCCTGGGAATGTGGAGATGGTTGAAGTGAGTAGGGGGGGGATTATAAAATTAAGTTTTCAGATCAGTGCAAAATAGACAACTAAGTCAGAAACCATTCTAGACATCAACATGAGCACACAGATGGGTCCGGTCTTGGCCCTTCAGAGCCCAAACCATCTGTTCAGCAGGTCTTCAGGTCCTGCAGACCTCAGGACGGGACACCACTAGGTTAAAAGATGGACTACCAGACACATGACTGACCTGAGCCGACAGGTGCCTGGAGGGCAGTGGTGATGCTGTGGGTTCCGTTCTGTGTAATGGTCTTAATGGGCAGCTGGTGCTGACCTATGGGAGCCTGCTGCACAATGGTAACAGTTTGCAGGGGTGTAGCGGACTGGGAGCTCTGGATGATGCGGCCGGTGGCACTAACCGAGCCGATGGTGGGAACCGTCTCAATTTTAACTGAGGAAGAGGAGCAGAAATGATAACACAACGTTTCAAAAACACTGAATTAAAGCAATTCTTTGCAGCCATTTCTTTCTATTTTCCTCCATCAGATGATCCGAGACGACCCATCAGGAACCAGGTCACTCATCCAGCCATAAGGGCGGCGCGTGCCTCACCTTTGACTTCTGTGTGCTCGCCGTTTTCCTGCGGTTCACTCTTAATGATGGTGGCTGGCTGAGCGATGCTGAGGGATCCAGCTGGGATCTGCTGCAGGACATGGACGGTCTGGACCGCAGGCTGGGAGCTGCTGGTGCTCACAGGGGAGGCCATGGTGTAAGTCACGGGCTTGATGGTTTGAGGTAACTGGCGCTGGACTGCTATGAGTACCGGCTGGTTGCTAACAGGCGAGCCTGGACCACAGGAATCAGAACTTTATTCATCTTTATGAACTCAATAAAGAGATAAGTCATTAAACAAACACAAATAAATGTAAACAAATAGACACATAGCTGCACAACGAGATGACAAATTTTTTATGTTGTCCAACAACATAAAAACACAACAACGTACCTGGTGTGTTTTGTGCAAAGCGTGCTTCCTGGATCACAGCCAGTTTGGGCTGCACTGTGGTGGTGGTCACTGGTGCAGGAGCAGAAGAAGTTTCCGGTTCTACCGGGACGGGGGAGCCCTCTCGAGACAGACTGTCTGGGGTCTGGACACCGCTGGAGTGAGCGGACAGAACCCCAGAGTGGTTGGGAGAAGCTGGGGCGCTCCTGAAGGAGTGGAGAGGAGCGATCAGGTGGTGCGTTGTCTCAGAGACGTGAGATATGCAACAACATCAGCCAATATACGTAGAACTATCTGAAACTCCTTCTGGTGTTAGAATGCAAAAACATAAACCTGTTAAAACACATCTGTAGCCACTTTAAACAAAAACAGGACAGCTTCTTGTCTATCTTTGCAGAAACCCCTTCAGAGTGACTAACGGAGCACATGTGGCCTCCATCCTCTGGTCGTGGATTTTTTAATCATTACTTTTTTACTTTCTGAGGCCATCATTTAAAAAGTGATCATGACAATGTAATGATGTAAGCTAGTGACTGAAATCCTCAACCAGAAACAGCCAAAATAACATTTTCTGTGTTTACGAGAGCGCCCCCTGCAGACCATCAGGTAAAATACACATCTAAGGTTTTAAAATAAAATCATCAAGGCGATGCTCTGATAGCAGATTTCCTCAAACCAAGTACGAGTACTTACATTTGAGTACTTTGTGATACAGAGTACCAAAACGTTAATTGTATTTATTTATTCACTCATGACATTGCACAGGGCACAGTCAGAGGAAAAGAAGAATGAATGAAAAAAAGAACAAGCAAGATGATCACACACTTGCTCGTGGTTTATGACTGAAAGGGTAAAAGCTGCAGATTAACTTCTTTAAGCCTACCTAATACACATCCAAGCTGATAAAACAAATACTGACAACAACAGAGAGCTGCAGCACAAACATCTGTAATATAACAAATAAAACATATAAACGTCTATGTTGTAGTGAACTTCCACAACCCAAATAACAGAACAGTTATGTAGATCTCTCCAGCAGCGCCGTAGGGGAGCGTGTACAGCAGCATGATGCAACGTGTCGCTCACAGATGAACCATTAGTGAGAGGTGTGAATCTTCACTTGTCTCCTGATTCGATTCGATTATTGGGTCAACGATTCAATTCGATATCCCGATGCATCACGGTTATTTCATATTGATTTGTTTTTATCGATAAATAGAAGATGTCAGATAATTGCTTTTTATTTTTTTAATCAAAAACGTAAGTGGCACAACCTGCCGTCCCTCAAAAGCTCTCCATCCACAACAGGTTACGACGAAAGATTTAAACATTTAAGAAGATTTAACAAAGTAAACATCTGTTTCCTCGTTCAACACCACGCCTCAGGCTGAGAAAAACACGCTTTACAAAAACTCACAAATCTAAAAAAGTACTGAAAACCTACAGGACACATAATGTAATAATAAAGTACATAATGGGTTCATATATGAGTGTTAAATGTCTCTGAGCAGCTCTAGAGTCAGATATTTATGCCACAGTTGAAGGGTGTCAGAAATAACACCAAATAAAATGTTTGACTTAATTTCATTTATTTGAACCCAGTGGTTCATTTCTGAAATGTTGGAGAATGAATCAAGTTCTGTTTGATGCAGAAAATAATAAAACATAAAACAAATTCTACACGTCCAATAATATTTAAGATGTGTGTTTTATTCTTCCTGATAATAACACCAGCAGAAGGCTGTGGGCTGGATTAGGATTAAATTACCCAGATGATGGATCTCCGTCACTAACCAGCTAACTACAAACCTTTCCACTAACCTGTCCTGTGTGACCCTCACCATGTAACCCTCATGTCCTTGCTGTCTCTGGAGGAGCAGATAGGAGACAAGATCTCCTGTAACTTAAAATGAACCAAAGCTTCCTCCCAGTTTTAGGGCTGTCGCGGTAACCGCAAAAATGAAATATCGCGATATGAAGAAGCCCACCGCGCTGCATCATGGGCCACCGCGATTACTGAACTTGGTTCAACTCAATGATGCATGTTGAGAAGGATGGCTGCACTGGTATCAAAACGAAACGTTACTTCGCTCCTTTGGGAGCACTTTGGTTTTCAGTACGTCAGCTGCTGCGCAGCCAGGGTCCTTGGCCGAGACAGAGCTGCCACCAGCGGCAATAAATAAATAAATAAATGCTCGGAGACCTGCTGAAGTCCTGGACAAGCACTGCTTCTGCAACCGTCCCGAAGAGAGTTTGAGCCGAGCTGGAGCTCACTCGCTACCTGCAGGAGGAATGCATCCACCCTAAAGAAACCCCCTGACATGGTGGAGCAACAACCGGGAGAGATTCCCTTTGCTCGCCAGAGTCGCATGCAAGTACGTGTGCGTTAGTGCAACGAGCGCACCATCCGAGAGGGTTTTCAGTGTTGCTGGAAATGTTGCCGCCCCTCTCAGATCCTCTCTCAAACCGTAGTTAACATGCTGGTTTTCCTTGTGGGTAACAAGGACGTGACCGAGCTATAAATCACCGTCATTCATGTGTGAAAGTGAAATGATAGTGCCCCACGCCCCGGCGCGCGCGCGCGCTCCCGGTACATGTAATTGTTTATGCTTGATTTTAAACAACTAAACAAAATGGGGACTTGTTTCTTATTTGTTAGATGCTGCAGCCAAATTTGCATTTAAAAGTTTAACCTTCTCCTGAATTTTGTTGTTTTTAAGTTCAGTCGGACTCCGACTGTCGGAGAAACAAACGTTACTGCGATCTGTGTTGTTACTGCCCTTTGATCTGCATTCAGTAAAGTGTTATTAAAGAAGGCACGGCAATTTTTAACCTTTTTTAAATGTGTAAACATTATGTTTAGATAGTACTGCAATAAAAAACGGGCTGCAATAATATCGCACACCGCAATATTAAGCCACCCTGAATCGCCGCAGGGGGAATTCCTCAACCGCGACAGCCCTACCCAGTTTCTCTTTAAGCTGAATTTAACATCAGTTTATCATCATGGAACAAAAGAATAAAGTGGAACAAGAACTTCTATCTTCTATTTCTCTCTCCTTTTAACTTCTCCGTGTCCCTAAATAAGAGAGACGATCCCGCTGCAGCCACCGTCACTGACCCTGCCCCCTCCCCAAGACCGGATCTCCCAGCATCACAACACTCGGTCTGACTGAGCGCTTCCAGGAGAAAAAATAATTATGAAAATAATAACGCGTGTTTGGAGAAGCATCCTCCGATCCTCTCTCTTGTGTGAGCAGACAATGTCTCTCTCTCTCGCTCCCTCTCTCAGTCGCTGATCGAGCGAGCGGAGCGCACTGCGTGACAACCCGCTCAATTAACATAATTCACGGCCCAAATCCAACAGAACCGGTCGGGCTGATTCGGTTCTGGTTTGGTCTCAGGTTACAACTCCAGCACTCAGCCCTGCAGTACCACATAAAGGCGGAACAATACTTGGTAAATGTGGAGGACGCTCACTCTGACAGATTTGGATGCTGCGCTGGTGCCGCCGTTAAAAAAACAAAACTACATTCCACTATAATCGATTATGGCGTGCTCTTCTACGATGCAGAAACGTTTATGTCCGCATTCCGATGCATCGATTATTTCCCTCAGCTCTACTATTAGTATTTATTAGTGTGAGAGAATGGAGGTGTGGCGTGAGAGCACGTGGAGTCAACTTAACGCGTCTTTCACGCTTATCACATGAAGAGTGTGCAGCCCTTATAAAATATACATCCACTGCAGATGTGGCTTGCTCTACCTTGACTTTATTTAGCCTGTAAAACAGCTGGTTTTGTGAGTGAGTGAGAACCTCTGAGAAAGGTTTGTGATTGGTCAGTCGATGTCACGTGAAACGTTTCTAGGTTGTTTGCTAGATGCTTTGGGGAAAAAAGTCAAGGAGGTCTGAAAAGTTGTTAGAAGTGGCGATAATGTTGATAAATTGGCAACATTGTATCAGAGGCGCGCTTGATTCGCAACTCGAAGCAGCGCGGGAGTAAACCGTGAGGGAGGAGAAAATAATCAGCTAATTATGTTTTTTATAATCATTCAAAACCCAGATTGTAATTGTGGTTAAAATTACTACATTAGAAATGCACTGTTAAAGGGAGACTAGGCAGTTTAGTTTGCTTTTAGCACCCCCTAGTAGAACCGAAAGCAAAACCTATCTCCTCACTGTGCATTCATCTTTAAACATCTTAATCTAACAGCTGAAACATCTCCCCAGCCTTCGTTAGTGTCTACACAGGGTATCTGCAGGTTTAAAGGAGCCAAATTTAAGACTTTTTAAGACCTTTTTTAAGGCCACTTTGACCAAATTTAAGCTTTTTTTTTTTAAATTAAATTTAGGCTATAATTTCCAGCTATTGCCTGGAACCGGTGCTAACCACGTAGTGAACGTGGGATTAGCCATCCAGTTACCATTAATGTTGCACTTCCCCATGGCGCAAACTCCCACTAGCATGCTCATCTAAAAATAGCCCCCTTTCACAACCAACCGAATGTGTACGGTTCCGCTTACGCCAATATCATACACAAAAAATGCCAAACTAACTAGAAATTCTTTCATTTCTATAAAATTTTCATGAATCTTGTTTATTTGGGTCTTTGGTAATTTAAGACCTTTGGAAACAAAGGATTATTTGTAATTTTTAGGAATTTTTAGGGCCTTAAATTTGGAAAAGCAAATTTAAGACTTTTTAAGGACCCGCGGATACCCTGCTACAGGAGTGGTTCATCACTAAATGAAACAAATCAGCTGTGTTCGTGATCTAAAACATGCAGGAAATGTGCTAGAACCAGACCACTTTTTTTAAAATCCAACAGACCACACTGGCACTCTGAAGTTGTAAACGCAGTATTCAGGTCACAGGGGGCGATTGGGGCTGGGTGGCCTTTCATCAACCCTGTCATATTAGCATATACTGGCTCAAGAAAATGTTTTTAAATTATGAAAAAGTTGCAAAGTATCCCTTTAACTCATTCACTGCCAGCCGTTTCCTGATCGCTAACGGCCTTCGCTGCCAGCGTTTCTCACCTTTTTACTGTTTTTTTAAGAGTCACAGAACATTGCGCGCTAGGATGATGTCGATGCCAAAACAACCAAAACAAAGGCGGAGACTCACCTCTTACAACAGGAAGAATCCGTGTGTTTCGAGCATTATCCGTTCTTTCATAATCTGTTGTTGAATTGTGATCGGCA